GGGGGGGGGGGGGTTGGTGGCTATTTCTTCTTCGCATTCGCGTCACATCCTCCACGTTCGCATAAGCCTCTGTTCTTTACTCTCCGCGTTCACGTCTCTTAGCTCGCGTTCGCGATGGCTTTTCTTGGCAGCTTCAGTTCCCCTTCTTCGCGAATGCGATTGTCCTTCCGCATTCGCGATGCACAAAATTTGGGCAGACAGAATATAATTTCCAAATCGAGGGTTACACCATTTTCACCATTAATTGACTTGTGGAGCTCGATTTTGAGCGATTCTTTGAGGGGTTTTCACACAAATCGATTAGGTAAGTATTCTTCACCTAGAATCAAACATATTCTATGATTTTATCTTCATTTTCATCATTTAATTTGTGTTTTGGGTTGGAAGAAATGTTGGTTTTTGAAGGAAATTCCTAAAATGAAAAATCACGATTTGAGGGGCCAAATAGTATCGGAATTTAATAAATTTTGTATGGTTGAACTCATATTGGAATGGGTATTTGGTTTTTGTAAAATTTGTCGGATTCCAAGGTGTAGGCCCGGGGGTCGACTTTTGGACCGATTTTTGGTTTTTGTTAAAGATTGAGACTTTATGATCCAGAATAGTTTCTTATGTGTTTTATTTGCGCTTTGAAGTTAATTTGGTTAGATTTGAGTCGTCCGGAGCTCTTTTCACCCGAGGAGTGCATTTTAGAGTATCAATTTGTCGTCTTTGAGGTAAGTATCTTGCCTAACCTTGTGTGGGGGACTTCCCCTTAGGATTTGAGTCTTCTATGCTAATTGTATTCCGTGCATGCGAGGTGACGAGTGTGTGCTCGGACTTATTTGTGGGAAATTTGCTCTAGGGTTCCTAGGTCTTTATGTTCATTATGTGGAAAGTATCCTGTTATGATTGGATTTAATAATTGCTTAAATTGCCTCTATATGCTTCACATGATGTTGTTAGCTTTTCTCTAATTCTTACGTGTTACATTAACCCTTAATTGCCTTAATTGAAGTGATTGCCTTCCTTATGGTTTTGATACTTCTTGATTGTGAGTTCCTCTACGACTTCGTGCAAATATGTTTCATGTCCAAGTGTTGCGGTTACCAGTGTAGTTATCACGTGCTTATTATGTCTTGTTAAGGTTATCGTGCTTCTAGATTTTTCCGTGATCCTTATTATGTACTTGTTGATTCCCTTGCCGGGATGTTATTGTTTCTATTGTTGATTCCCTTGCCGGGATGTTATTGTTTCTATTGTTGATTCCCTTGTCGGGATGTTATTGTTTCTATGGTTGACTCCCTTGCCAGGATGTTACTGTTTCTACTGTTTGGGTGAAGAAAGAGTGATAAAGCATGAAGGGTGATGCTATGAACATTTATATTTATATGATTCATATGGTGAGGAAAGAGAGATAAAGCACGAAGGGTGCTGCCGTGTACATTTATATTATTCATATGGTGAGGAAAGAGAGATAAAGCACGAAGGTGATGTCGTGCACATTTATATTATTCATATGGTGAGGAAAGAGAGATAAAGCACGAAGGTGATGTCGTGCACATTTATATTATTCATATGGTGAGGAAGAGTGATTAAGCACGAAGGGTGATGCCGTGCACATTTACATTTATATTGATGCATATGGTGAGGAAGAGAGATAAAGCACGAAGGGTAATACCGTGCGCATTTCTATTATTGATTGCATGGTGAGGATTGAGAGTTAAAGCACGAAGGGTGATGCCGTGCACTTTCTGCTGCTGTGTCTATTTGTTGTTATCAATTCAAGTATTTTTAACTGTTTAAATTCCTTTATTACTGTGATCCTTTATGTTGGAACCTACAGTGTTTTCAATACCTCGCCGTATTTATATATGTATACATTCCAATACTTTAAATTTCAATAATTGTTACACCTTTAATTCAATTAGTTTCTCAATTACATCCCCTTAAACCGTCCGAGGTTGTATTTTACTTAAAAAAGAATTTCTACTAAGTTAATTTCTTAAATCCCATGTTAAAAGGTAATAATTCATTCGGTGTTGCATTTTAATTAAAAGGGCATTTTCTTTTTACTCAAATGATTTCTATAAACAACTTAATCTTTTCTCGCTGATTTTCCTAACTGATTTAGAAAATTGAAATTTACCTTATGTTATGTAAATGAGACTTCTTGAACATCTTGATTGTATTTGTACGGACACTATGTATTGTGTAATATGTGGATTTTTGTTGTGAAAAGTGAGATGGAAAATATGTGGGCACAAGGTGCCATGTGTGCTGAAGGTTCGGAAGTTGAGGTTATGATACAAGAAACCAAGGAATTAGATGGTCGGGATTGTGTATAGACATGATGTGATAGATTGAGTTGACATTGCCTTCTTTATTTGAATACATTTTTACTTGTCTGTGTCCCTGTTATGTCTATATTGATTTACTTGGTTATCTGATTTACTTGGTTAACATTCGTTACTATCCGTGCTCTCCCTTTATTTCCTTACTGTTTGTATTTTGATTTCTCTTTGCTATTGATATTACCTTGTTACCCTTATCCTGACATTTTATTATCATATCCTATACATTTCATTTGACTAGTATGTGTCTTGACTATTCCTCGCCACTATCCCACCGAGGTTAGTCTTGATACTTACTGGGTACCACCGTGGTGTGCTTATACTACACTTATGTACATTTTTATGTACAGATCTAGGTATTCAATCAGTAGTAGCTGTGCGGGTCGACGTAGTGGAGACTCAAGGTAAACCTTCTACTGCGTTCGCAGGCCTTGGAGTCACCTTCATTTGTATTTATTTTTCATTTGTTCCTTTGTTTCGGGACAACGAAGTATTTATATTGTATAACTACTCTTAGAAAAGCTTATGACTTGTACCATCGGTTTTGAGAGTTGTAAATTTTCAGAGTTAATTAACTTAAAGTTAGTAAATGTCAAGGTTATTTCAGTTAATGTTAGGCTTACCTAGTTTAGAGACTAGGTGCCATCACGACTCATTCGGAGGGATTTTGAGTCGTGACAAATTTGTATCAGAGCTCTAGGTTCATAGGTGCTACGAGTCATAAGCATCTTTAGTAGAGTCTTGCGGATCGGTACGGAAACGTCTGTACTTATCTTCGAGAGGCTACAAAACTATTAGGAAATTCCACTTCTTTCATTCCTTATCGTGCGATATTGATTCAGCTCGAAGTGTATAACTCATGTTCCTTTACATCCACTC